TAAGAGTTTTGCAGTCTTTGCTGTCAAATTTCTTTCTCAGTGACATAATGAAACGGATCCTTATCAAGTGCACAGGTAAAACAAAAGACTTCACGCTAAGGTCTGAAGCACAAGCATTAATGTTAAGTGCTCATAGTTGCTAATGGCAAATGTGAGTGAAATGAAGCAAATTTTTTTTTTTTTTTGAGATGGAGTTTCACTCTTGTCACCCAGGTTGGAGTGCGATGGCACGATCTCACCTCACTGCAACCTCCACCTCCCAGGTTCAAGCAATTCTCCTGCCTCAACCTCCTGAGTATCTGGGATTACAGGTGCCTGCCACCACGCCCGGCTAATTTTTTTGTATTTTTAGTAGAGACGAGGTTTCACCATGTTGGCCAGGCTGGTCTTGAACTCTTGACCTCAGGTGATCCACCCACCTTGGCCTCACAGAGTGCCGGGATTACAGGTGTGAGCCACCACTCCCAGATGAAGCAATGTTTTTTAAAGAAAAGGATAAGAAACATAATTAGAGAAGGCAAAAAAAGGACACATGTAGTACGGATGGAAATATGCTAAAAAATGACTGCAGTGTCACAGAAGCAGCAGGAATGCCACAAACACTAAACTGACTTTAAATACTGAGTGACTGAAGGTAAATAGAAAAGAGAAGGTAAGTGACCTGAATCTTGAGATACTGTAGCACTTGGAAGTCAAAGAGGTGACAACCAGACAGCAAAGACCAGAGAGGTGGGCAGGAAACTAAGAGTGTGGTATTTTGGAAGCCAAGTAAAGACAGTGTTTCCAGGAAGAAAGAAGGGTCAACTGTTGGAACTGCCAGTGATACATCAGATGAGGATTAGAATCAATCTGAGTATTAGCAGTTTGGTAGCCAACCACCTGTACAAACACGTATTTTTTAACCAGCTTACATTTGACAGCTCTTGAGTTTTACTACATATAACATTTCCTTGTGTTTAAAAACTTATGAAAAAACTTTGTGAATATAACAGAAGTTAACAACCTTATATACTCTGTCAGAAAATAATTTAATTTTACCAAGGTTACGAAGCAGTACCTGTAAGTCGGGGAATAATTGTTTTGTTGATGATTGCAGACAAGATTTTTTTATCTGAACTACTTTCCTTCTTTGAATCTTCTACACTGCTATCCATAAATTCTTCTACGGATTTGAACCATGGCATCTCTTTTAAACCTGTGGAATCCAACTTACAAAGAAAACGATAAAAGTTATAAAGAAATCCTTCAACGTTAGTGTATTTTAAAATAGCTTTTGTTTTTTTTTCAATAATCACCAGAGCTTTTCTAAGGATCAGAGGAGACTAATTCCCTGTTTTAACACTAGACCACCAAGGCTAGGCAGGATGGCAGGACAGTATGACTGAGATGTGGTGTCTAAGTAGCATAACAAGAAGCCGCATTTCATGCATTCAATTACACAACAAACACTTAACAACCACCTAGTGTGTGCCAGAGCCTTTAGAGCCTACCACGTGGCAAGTACTCTGCTAGGAGCAAAATATACATTTGTTAGGCACTTGAAACAGCCATGGACTTTGTTTATAAAAAAATTCATCCACTTCAAGCAAAGTTTATTTCTGGCCCCTTCAATTCTCATAAGCATAAATATGTAATTTGTATATGATTTAGTTAAAGGTTCTATTACACAGTAGACAGTTGCTAAGTTCATATTTCTTTTTTTTTCTTTTAGTCAGTCAAATTCACTGAATAGAGTTTATATTTCTTAACTTTGGATCTAAATATCTGCAATTTCTAGCTCCTGAACTAATATTTCTCCCTTTATACTTTTATGAAACATCTTTCCCTTTCTGATTCATCCTGTTTATCCCATAAACCCTTCAAAGGCTTGCATTCCACCTCCTCAATGCAACCCTAAGCAACTCCTCCCAGTATGTCATCTCCAATTCAAGAATTCTTGAAACGAGGCTTTTATAGTTACTTTTTCCAAACCCAACAGTACCTTATACTTTCTGGGAGGATTTTAAATTTAATGTACAAGAAGCTAAAAAAAAATGTATTTGCTTTACTGATGTTAATGATGCTTAGCCTAAAAGTCAAGTGAGAGCCAAGAAAAGAAGAATGTAGCTGAAAGCACACATTTTCTGACTATTGTTCCAAAGCTCTAAATTTCAGCTCCAAATCTAAGGGTAAGGTATTTAATAGCTAACATAATAGTAAGAGAATTTAAGTATACTAATGTAATCAGGATAAATTTTCACATGTGAAGCATAAATACCTTAAGAGGATTCCAGTCAATCAACTGAACTCGTACTAGGGGATTTAAAAGCTTTGGTATGCACAAACTAATGAAAGCTTCATAATAGGAGTCAGGAAACTTTTCTCGCCATTGCTGAAACTTCAACAAAATATTCTGGATGTTACAAAAATCATCATGCACATCTTCAAAAACTTTCTTCTGTTTCTGTAAAATGTCACCTGTAAACAAAATAAGTCTCTTTATGCATTTTAAGTTGTGAACTTTAAGTATGCTTCCTTAAAAACATGGTCATGCCAGACTGTAATCAATTGACCTAAAATTCCGTCCTTTTATATTAACATAAATTTTTATTAAAAAAATCACTTTAGCAACAAAGTAATAATATCAACACTAAAAAAAGCTACCATATATACCCCTGCTATATGCCAGCAGAAATACATTAATCTCATTTTACCATCGTAGCTATCTTCCCTACCATATAGGTATAGTCTACTTATTTACAGACAAAACAACATCAAATTTAGGGAGGACAAGACATTTGTCTAAGACTACACAGAATAAAATCTCCCTTAGAACCCAAATTTATTTAAATCCAGAGCCCAGAATTTTTCAACTATACGCATCTTATCTTCTCACCATGCTAAAAAGTTTCACCAAATTCAAATATTTTAAGTTAAAAATGACAATCTAGAAACTATGTGTGGTAAAGAAATGAAATGAAGATGTTCACTAGTAATAGGAGAAAGTCTAAGAGAAAAAACTATGAAGATACAAGAATACTCACAATGCTCCTTCCTTCATTTTACTCCATTATTCAGAGGTAGGAAGAGAGTCTTACAGAGGAAAAATGTGTTTCATTTTTTCTGAATTTAACCAACTGTTTTATATAGCTTACGTACTTATTAAGGGCAATCACAGCAAAGCGTTTCTCACCATTTCAAAACTCAAACCATGATATATTAGAAACTTGGTAACTAACCTTGGCTTTTTTGGAAGTCAATCATCTCTGCTGAAGGCAGTTCATCATCACTAGATGTCCCTTCCTGATGGTTACAATTCCCAGAAAGCATCCTTGCTTGTCTTCTTTTTGTCCTATATTTTGCAACAAACCAAAAATAAACAAAAAGTAAATAGATCTTGCTGAAAATAAATGCTTAAATTTTTTTTTTACCTCTTGCTGAAAATAAGTAATTTTATCATTTATTTTAAATGGTCAAAAATATATCAGTGCACAATTTTATTAATATTTTTGACATTTTTAGTTTCATTAGTTTGAATTGGTGGTTCTCCATTTGTTTTTTTGTTTTTTCTTGTAAGATATTCCCAATTAGGACATTCCCATGGGCTAACCAGATTCTGAAGAGGGGGTAATTATAATTAGGAACGGTTTCTAGTTACAAGCAATTCCCAGCCTGATAAATGTCATTTTACCCATTCCTTTTAACTGATCCAAATATACCAATCTGTCTTTAAAGCAGTCAAGGATGGTTTTACTAAATTTTGCTTTTATTTTTATTTTCACAAATTAATAATGTATATCAGGTATACCTAATGACATCATGTGGTTAATTACATTTAAGTAGTGAAAAGTACTTGCTCAATGATGCTTTCTTTAAATCTTCACTTTATATAGGTACCTTCGAGATTCAATCTCTTCTAAAATCCACTGAGTTTTTTCATCTACTGCTAAGTTTCCACTTGTGGACATCTCATCTTTGCCTGTTAATAAATGAAATTGACTTCATACTACAAATTCTCAAAAGAAAAAAGTAAAATGCTTTGAAAATAAAGGTAACATCATGAATGTATAAACATATATGCATAAGTAAATACACAAATATGCTTAAATTTTGCAATTAATTATGCAATGAAATTTCAGTGTTAACTCTTTATTGCAATATTAACAGGCATGAGGTTCATTGGCCTAAAAATGTATTTTGGCTGGTGAAAATGTTAACCTAAAAACGTACTTTGGCTGGTGTACTGTTGCTATTGTTGAGAACAGCAGCAAAGCTCTACCAAAAAGTTTCATTTCCTTGTATTCTTTTCCAGTAGTTTTTACCAGTTTTTTTCCATAGCCAAATGCAAGAAATATTGGCTTTATCAATATAGGAGTCCCCCACTTAGAATGTATCCCCTTAGAATGTATTTGCAGGTGATACATTCTAAGAACCCCAGTGGATGCCTGAAACCGCATATAGTACCAAACCCTATTTGTTTTTTCCTCTATATATACACTTATGATAAAGTTTAATTCATAAATTAGGCACAGTAAGAGACTAACAATAGCAATAAAGTAGAACAATGAAAATATACTATAATGTATGTTATAGGAATGCTGGGTATCTCTATCTCAAAATATCTTATCGTACTGTACTCATTCATTTTTGGACCATTGTTGACTGAAACTATGGAAAGCAAAACTGCAGATTAGAGGCACTACTGTATTCTATTCACATTATTTCTAATTTTAATATGTAATACCATTATTTACGATCCATTAAGGGTTGTGTGTTTCACTGAAAGTCACTTTGCCTTTGCATTTACTAGCTACTTGGTTACGGTCTTTCACTATCTCCTGATAGCACCTTAATCAAAGGAAGATATCTCTGAAAGTACAAAATCAATGTGGAAAAAAAAAAAAAGGAGGCATTCATATTTTGTATAATGAAATCTTAAAGATAAATCTGTATTGAAACTCACCAGAACCAATCTGTAAAAGGACTTTGAAACTATGAAGTTAGATTTCTGACAGAGTCTAAAGAATTACGTGAACTTGTCTCAAAACATTCTCTAAAAGGCTATGTACATATTCTGTCTGAAATAGTAAATAATTGGAAGTTATGTTTATTTTTTAGTCTTGGACTTAATTTAAAACATTCTTAAGTCCTATTTCTAAATGCTTTGAGTTTTTGGAAGTTAGTGGGTAAAGGGTTTGTGGGAAAATACATGAAAAACATGTTTATAAAAATAAAAATATTTTTATTCTTCACATAATTTAGCTTAATGAATAATAAATTGTATTGAACAGGAAAAACACTAACGTGATAACTGTTGTAAATACGTTGATTCATGTTTTAATTCATCTTGCCTGCGTTTCATAAAGGTCATAGCTTGTTTTAAAAGGAGTGCATGCATGGATGATTCTATTTCTTGGATGTTGATAATCTGAAATACATATATAAGTAATATTTTGTAGGTCATCGATAATGAAATATATATATACACAAAAGTAATATTTAGAAGATACATAAGCATATTTTTATGCTTAATTCTCAAAGAAACATTCCCAATACTATCACATCTCAAGTATAAAACATTGTGTGCAACAGACCTAGCTGTCAATACTTTTAATATTAAAAATCAGAAAATTGACTGTCTCCTGGAACTGTTATAATTATCAGAGATATACAAACTAACTGGGGGCCAGGTGTGGTAGTTCATGCCTGTTATCCCAGCACTTTGGGAGGTGGGCAGATCACCTGAAGTCAGGAGTTCAAGGCCAGCCTGGCCAACATAGCGAAACTCCTTGTCTACCACTAACAATACAAAAATTAGCCAGGCGCAGCGGTGCCCACCTTCAATCCCAGCTGCTCAGGAGACTGAGGCAGGAGAATCACTTGAACCCTGGAGGTGGAGGTTACAATGAGCTGAGATTGCGCCACTGTACTCCAGCCTCGGCAACAGAGCAAGGCTCTGTCAAAAAAAAAAAAAAAAAAAAAAAAAGAAACCAAATGGGATGGAGTCAGGAACATGCATTAAAGTTTGAGATAGAAGATTTTTTTCTGAGATAGAAGAATAGGAAAAAATGAAGGGTAAAGATGTTTTCACAGGCTGAGGATGTGGAAAGTAGGTGGGGGCACTCAAAGCTGGTAAAATTTGAAAAATTGGGGAATGGAGGAAAACTAACCAGAGACAGGTAACAAAGTTGTGATGTGATACAGAAATGAGACTAGTTGAAATTGAAACGCTTGTATTTTGGGGAGCAACAATTCCTCCTACACCTTTGATACTCCACAGCTGCTGCTATGAATACATTAATGCTCAGGCTGACAAAATTTTAACAGTGTAATTTTTCAAGGAGGAATGAAAAAAGAAAATTACATTGTAATACTTCAGAAAGTAACTACCAAGTGATAGTAGAAGATAGCCAACTTAAAACAACAATTGGGACAAAGCATCCCATTGTTTAGCAACATTTTAATTATAAACAAAAAATAATGTGGGCTGAGGGCAGTGGCTCAGGCCTATAATCCTAGCACTTTGGGAGGCTGAGACAGGTAGATTGCCTGAGCTCAGGAGTTCCAGACCAGCTTGGGCAACATGGCGAAACCCCGTTTCTATTAAAAATACAAAAAATTAGCTGGGTGTGGTGGCGCACGCCTGTAGTCCCAGCTACTTAGGAGGCTGAGGCACAAGAATCGCTTGAACCTAGGAGGCAGACGTTGCAGTGAGCTGAGATCGTGCAACTACACTCCAGCCTGGGTGATAGAGCGAGACTCTGTCCCCCCTCTTCAAAAAAATAAATAAAATAAAAATAACAAAAATAATGTGGAAAGTAGAGTATAATTTATTGTAATGGTTATCTATTTTTAAAAACGGACAACTGAAGGCCCACCCTAATGTAAGAACTTAGTATGCATAAATCAAAAACTAAAAACAAAAATCTCAAAACATCTGAAAGTTGAAAGAAAAACCATTACAAACAAATTCAAAAGACAAAACTGGTAAGTTCACAAGCAGCAGGATAAAGCATTAAAAATTTTTAAGCTATAAAGAATTGTTCATACTCTAACAAAACTAGAAAAGAAAAAAAAAATCTCTACTGATAACCACAAAGATAACAGGGCAAAGACAAGAAACAAATAATTCACAAGAAGAAAACCAGAGTTTGCTTGAGATCAAAATACGATATGTAAAACCAAAATCTATTTATTCCTAATCTAGTAAACTAATAAAACTGGCATAATCTTTCTGGAGGTCAGTTTTGTAATGTTTCACAGGCCTTAAAAATATTTAGACTTAATAATTCATTTTCTTTGACTTCATTTTCAAGGAATTTTCCTTAAACAGATGAAATTGTAACAAAAATTTATATACAAAATTTTATACAGTTACTTATAATAAAATAACTGCAAAAAACTTGAATATCCTACATTAAGAGAATGCTTACTATCATCTTATTTTAAAAACGTGTAGGAAAAATACTACAGAAAAGTATCTAATTGTGAGATTTAGACTTTTCTTAATTGCATAAGGGGTTTTCTGCAGGAAATGATATAAATATTGATATGTACCTTTTCATTAAGGCAGTCAATTAAATTTTCCACATAAATTTTCATGCTTTTATAGAATTTACAATTTAGAGCTTGATTTGATGAACTCTCTAGGTTCTGGATGGTACTCTTTGAGCTTTTGACATCTTGTACATATTTTTCATACTCCCTCAGGTGTGAGCGGTGAGTTTCCTGTAGTAATGTTAATCTAAATAAATAAAATAAAAATTAGTTTATTTTTCAAACTTTTTCAAAAGTAGGAATCTAATGCAAATATTTCCAAAGACCACCAAGGAAACTGACAATCATATAAATCTGGGTATGCAGACTAGATAAGCAAAGAACACCACAATAAAAGTAAACCCTTTAGCACCTGCTTAGGCCAAATACTCTCTCTTCAAGTTTTCACGCATTTGTCATTCAGAATCTTTCTTTGCTTTATATAAAGGACAGTGAGAATTAAGAAATTAATCAAGATTATAATGTATAGTAGGCATTATTAATGAAATATTTTAGTTAAGTAGAATATTTCTGACTATAGCAGTATATTATATTACTTATAACTTGTAAGTAAATATTATGTAGAAAAAGCTAGGTACAGAGCAGGGTACATAATGTGCTTCCTTTCTTGTATAAAAACAGGGGAATATGTAAGTATATATGTGCTTGTAAAGATATACATATAGACCACCTCTGGAAGAAAACATAAGAAAATGGTAGCAATGGTTTCCTCTAGGGAGGGTGGTAATTTACTTTGTTCTGTATATCCTTTCCACTGGTTATTTTATGTCTTAACAATGAGAGTGTATGGTCTTTTTAAAATAAAAAACCTAGTTAACAAAAAATAAAATATAATAAAGTTATCCAGACAAAATAAAATGCTACAATAAATCAATGATCTGCTGCCTCTTTTTTATCCCTCATGCAAGGTTATCTTTGTACTCTAGGGGGCTGGCAAACTACCAGCCCACCCTTTGTTTTTATAAAAAAGTTCTATTGGAACGCAGCCATGCTTATATGTTTACATATTGTCTATGGCTGTTTTCATGCTGTAACATAGAGTTGAGCAGTTACAACAGCAATCATGCAGTCCTTAAAGCCTAAAATATTTACTATCCTGTCTTTTACACAAAAAGGCACTTGCTGACTCCTGTTCTAGATCAAAATGTCCAACAGAGAAATATTTAAGTAAATTATGATATAACAACTATATGGACAAACATGATAGTTTTTTTAAAAAATTAAAGGCTATTTGGTAATATAGAAAAATGCTTATAACCATATTAAATAAAAAAGTAGAATTTTGTATTTACTGATTTTAATCATGTAAAATATGTTACAAAGACTAAAAAGACATTATGGTAGTCACCCCTTAATCATGGGGATAGGTTCCAAGACCCCCAGTGAATGCAAATAATATCAAAGCCTATATATGCTGTTTTTTCCCTATACATACGTAACTATGATAAAGTTTAATTTATATATTACATACAGTATGCCTGCACTCTGGGGCCATTATTAAGTAAAATAAGGGTTACCTGAACACAAGCACTGTGATACTGCAATAGTTGATCTGATAACTGAGATGATTACTACGTGACTAACATGCTGCTGGCTTACAGAGCAAAGAGAAGCTGGACAAAAGGATGATTTTCATTCTGGGCAGGATGAAGCAGGGCAGCTCGAGATGTCATCACACTACTTAGAACAGCATGTAATTTAAAACATATGAATTGTTTATTTCTGGAATTTTCCATTCAATATTTTTGGACTATGGTTTCACCACTGATAACTGAAACCATAGAAGGCAAAAATGCAGATATGGGGGGACTACTGTATACAAAAATGAAATCAATTGTGTTAGTATGATGACACAGGAAATCCTTTTTTTCCCCTATAAGTTTGTTTAATATCAGTACTTAATAATCTAAAAGAATACAGTGCTATATCTCTAGTATTAAATATCTAGGACAAATGTAAATTTCAAAATAAGTATTGCTCACCTAGTATTTAATTGCTTCTTTATAATTTCCAAATTTACTGGTGTAAATGAAATGGAGGTATCAAATTTCTTCACTTTTGAAGATCCACTGCCATGGGAAAGATCTATGTCTCTTTCCTAAAAAAATAAAAATAGATTTTTACAAAACCATTTCATTTACCTTCGAAACATTAACAGCATGAAAAGGGACTGGATGATCCAAGGTCTCTTCAAGCTAAAAAATTCCATGTCTTTGTAATTTTTCATGGTCCCAATAAAATGTTTTTAAATTCAGTTTTAAAATTTAGAAGTTTAAATTCATATTTAAGAAGCAAATTCTAAAAATTACATTTTTTAAAAAGTTTAGTTTTGAAGCTAATTTTGGTTATGGTCTAATGTACTCTCAGAAAGTCATCCAGTTTTTTAAGAAACAACAATCCTTCATGAATATTAACTTGCGGAGCAGACAGACCTGTCTGGCTGACCTAACACCTATTTCCGTGATAGAAGTACCTATTTAACTCCAACTCCATTCTAGTCAATTAAAAGTAGATGGAAGTCTGCTGGAGGATGTGTAGGTAAAGTTTTTACTTTTCTTTAAGACATTCTTTTTTTTTTTGAGACGGAGTCTGGCTCTGTCACCCAGGCTGGAGTGCAGTGGCGCGATCTCAGCTCACTGCAAGCTCCGCCTCCCGGGTTCATGCCATTCTCCTGCCTCAGCCTCTCAAGTAGCTGGGACTGGGACTACAGGCGCCCACCACTACGCTTGGCTAATTTTTTGTACTTTTAGTAGAGACAGGGTTTCACCATGTGTTAGCCAGGATGGTCTCGATCTCCTGACCTCGTGATCTGCCTGCCTCGGCCTCCCACAAAGTGCTGGGATTACAGGCGTGAGCCAATGAGCCCGGCCAAGAAATTCTTATTTGGGTTTTCTGTTCCTTGTAAAGAAATGCACTGCTAACATATATCTTATAAAATGGTATATTTCATATTAGTGTCCCCTGTCTAATTGCAGCTCCTCCACGCTTGAAATGTTCAAAAGATGTTGAAGAACCTCTATTTTACACAAAGACACATGAAGAAAATTGACCAGACATTTAGCCAATTTCACTGGCTTAGCTATTCTTTTTATATTTTCCATGAAGCATCATCTTTTGTCATTTCAATTCTCACCAAGCCTCCCATCCAGCTCTGCGCATACCTACAAAATCTCCAAACACTCTTGATATTTTGCAGTCAATGACCCATTCAAATATCACCAGTTCCGTAAAGGCTTTATCAAACTTACTCATTTACCTTCCCTCCTATAAAACTTGACCACCTACTTGCTCCTTTGTGCCACCTCAGGACCCTGCACAGAGTTCTGTCACAGAACCTGTAGGATTTCACTATAATTGTTTTGTTTAGTTGTCTTCCTTCCTGCAAAGGTTGTACAACGTTGTAAGTGGCCGTAGCAGGCTAATGGTGACCCCATGAAAACATGTTCACATTCATGTTCATGTTCATTATATGGCAAAAGATGTAATTAAGACTTTGAGATGAGGTGCATATCCTGGATTATCCCAATGGAGCCTGAATACAATTACATGTTTCATCCTAAGAGACAGGGAATTTTGGGACACAAGAGAAGAAGCAGATGTGAAGACTGAACAAAGAGAGATGAGGCCACAAGCCAAGGCATGCCAACAGCCACCGGAAACTAGAAGAGTCAAGGAATGGATTCTCTTCTAAGAGTTTCTGGAAAGGGGGGATGCTCTACTGACATTTTGATTCTGGACTTCTGGCCTCCAGATCTGAGAGAGAAGAAACTTCTATTGTTTTAAGCCACCAAGTCTGCAGTAATTTGTTACGGGAGGCACAGGAAACTAATACGGTGGCAAATGGTAGCTTTTCAATAAAGGAATCAGTAAATGTACTCACATTAGCAATAAAAATGCAAATTAAATAAGTGTGAGATTCCATTTTCACCAACTATACTTGCACCTGAAGAGGGCAAGATTATAGTAAAATATTCCCATGATATTGGTGACATTACAGATTGAGCTAAGTTTTCTTTAGAAGGTAATAGAGAAAAATACACTAAGTGCCATAAAAACATTCATCTCTTGATTAGTAATACAGTTCTTGGTAATTATTACAAAGGAATAGTTCAAAAACACACATCTGAACAAAAGAAAGAAGAGGAGGAAAAATAATTAAATATTCACTGATTCTTATTTGTTAATTAAAAAAAAACCAGATTGCAAAGAACCTAAAATGTCCAAAATGAAGAATGGTTAAGAAGATTATGATTCAGTGACTCCAGTGAATATTATGTAGCTAATAAAATCAGTTATTATAACAATGTACAAACAAGAGAAGGTAATTTATAGTATGTCAAGCAAGGAAATCAGAATTCAAAATTACATGCATATTGTGGTTCCCAAACTGTGTGCAAAGGCATCCTAGCAAATTTAAAAGGGTGTAGTGAGACATTTTAAATTTTTTAGGGAAAAACCGTAATACTCAACATCTGTTGGACTACTAGCTCTTAGTTCACAGTTACATTAGAATGTGTTCCATATGGCCAGACATGGTGGCTCATGCCTTTAATTCTAGCACTTTGGGAGGTTGAGGTGAGCAGACTGCCTGAGCGCAGGAGTTTGAGACCAGCCTAGGCAACATGATGAAATCCCATCTCTACTAAAATACAAAAAAATCAGTCAGGCGTGGTGGTGTGTACCTATAGTCCCAGCTACTCAGGAGGCTGAGGCACGAGAATTGCTTGAACCTGGGAAGTGGAGGTTGCAGTGAGCCGAGATCATGCCACTGCACTCCAGCCTAGGTGACAAGGCGAAACTGTCTCATTTAAAAAAGAAAAAAAAAAAAAAGAATGAGTTCCATTCCTTTTGATGAAGTCATATTTGTGGAGCTGGGTTTTGGGACGACGTTATGATAAAAACAAGTATTGTGTGAAGATCAACATGGAAATGAGTGACAGTGTCCAATCTGATTCCCAGGTTTGAAAAGTCATGCAATGCCTAACAGGAACACATATCTCATTAGTAAGGAATTTTGGTTATTTAAAAATAAAATAAAAATGTTTTGCCTTCAAATTATCTGTATTATTTTTTTCCAAATGGTTAGTTCTTAGGACACAAATTGTATAAAATTCGTTGAACTACTTAATAAATAGAATTGTTTGGTACTTCTTTTGGCTTACGAGTATCATGATAAAATTACCAAGACACTAACGGCTCCATGAATGAGAAAGTTTGGGAACCTCTGATGTATACTATGATTGCAATTCTTGACCTCATAGAGCTTATATTCTAGCAGCAGACCCAGAACCCAAATCTAGGACTTTTAACCCCAAGTACAGTACATTTGTTAGGTTTCAAAGCTTACTACTTGCTTAAACTTTACATTCATTCATTCATTTTTAGTGACAGGGTCTCATTCTGTTGCCCAGGCTGGAGTACAGTGGTGTGATCATAGCTCACTGCACCCAGAACTCCTGGGCTCAAGTGATCCTCCCAGCTCAGCCTCCCAAGTTGCTAGGACTATAGGCACGCCCCACCAGGCCTGGCTAGTTTTATTTGTTTTTAGTAGAGCTCAGGTCTCACTGTATTGTTCAGGCTGGTCTCAAACTACTGGGCTGAAGTGATCCTCCCTCCTTGGCCTTCCAAAATGCCGGAATAAGCGGTGTGAGCCACTATGCCTGGACAAATCTGGGCTTTAGTGTTGTTGTTGTTTTTAGTCTTAAATGAGACAGGGTCTCACTCTGTCACCCAGGCTGAAGTGCAGTAGCGTGATCTTGGCTCACTGCAGCTTTGACCTCCTGGGCTCAAGCAGTCCTCCCACCTCAGCCCCCAAGTAGCTAGGACTACAGGTGTGTGCCACCATGCCTGGCTAATTTTTGTATTTTTTGTAGCAGTAGGGTTTTGTCATGTTGCCCAGGCTAGTCTTGAACTCCTGGACTCAAGTGATCCACCTGACTCAGCCTCTTGGGCTTTGGTTTCTAATATAATTTTTAGCGCTTCATAGTGTCCCACCCTACTGTATTGCATGAAGACCCCTATTACTGGATATTTACTTTGTTTACATCTTTTTAAAAATTAAATAAAACACAAAGCTATATTTGTGTATGCAGAAATGTAACAGTTATGTATCATAATATAGGTATAATGTATTTGTGTATAATATTTACCACAGGGTTCACTATAATAAAAAATTATCTGAGAAATCACATAATGAGATTTAATATATAAATGATAATACATCTATTCACTAGATTGCTATGAAATCATTAAGATGTAGTAGAAGTAGATATACCATTGCAGTGAAATGTCTGTTATACTGTGAAGTGAAAAAAACAATTTCCAAAGAGAAAATTGGATATATTTATATTATACAGAACAGGTGTCTAAAAGTAAAGTTTGAGGCCTAAACTTTACTTTTAAGCACCTGTCCAACATAAACTGTCAATTATTATAAAATTAATTATTAAAAAAATAGTACCCTCAAGGTATTTATAATCTAGTGGAAAAATAAGATAATATGTACAGTGTAGTGGGTTGAATGGAGGCCTCCCAAAAGATACATCCATGACTTAATCCCTGGAAAGTGCAAATATGACCTTATTTGGAAAAAGAGTCTTTGTGGTTGTAATTAAGTGAAGGATCTTGGATTATCTGAGTGGGCCCTAAATCTAATGACAAGTATCCCTATGGGAAAAACACACAGCAGAGACATGGAAAAAGCCATGTGAAGACAGAGGCAGAGACAGGAGTTATGTAATCACAAGCCAAGAAATACCTGGAATGACCAGAAGTTGGAAGAGGTAAGGAAGAATCATCTGCTCCCCACAATCCCCCAGGGCCTTTGGAGGAAGCAAGGTGCTACCAACACCTTGACTTCAGATTCTGGCCTCCGCCCTGTGACAAATAAATGTCTGTTCTTTTGAGTCACCAAGTTTGTGGTAATTTGTTATAGCAGCCACAGGAATCTACTATACATGGTATAAACAATGATTACCTCTATGATTTTAACTGCTTTTCTCATTTGTTGTCGTTCCCAAATATCCTGTTTTTCATCTTCCTGACTTTCTTCACTTGTTTCTTCATTTCTACTTACTAGGGGGAAAAAAAGTTCACATGTAAACATTTAGTATTTTTCCATTTTAATTGCAGCAGCCAACATTTTTTGAGCTTATTCTACACAGGCTTAGCACGACTTTACGTGTTATTTATTCTTCACAATAATTCTGGGAAGAAGGCACTATTATTGGCCTCATTCACAAGTGAGGAAACACAGATATTGGGAGGTTAAATAGCTGTCTGAAGACGATGACGAAGCTGGAAGTTGGATCCTGGGATCTGACTCCAGAACCTGCACTCTTACCATACTCTCCCACTCAAAACACTACAGCCCTACATACTTCTCAGTAAAAAAACTGAGAAAGAATGAAATGTTTGGTTTTTCTTATCAAACATCTCTCAATTACTACCTAAGAATCTAAACATTTAAAAGTAAGTTGTAAGGAACTGAGTCTTTTTCCAAAAAAAAAAAAAAGTTACAAAAACCTTGGTAAAATGCATATATTACAAATGAGAAATGTGAAAACAGTCCTTTAAGGCTTAGCATTGTGGGTAGATGAAATTTTTTATTACAGCAGGGAACATTTTAATACATGACATCGAAAATCTCTGTAGATGCTTCCATGTTGAAAAAATACATTTATAAAGGTGACGATTGTTTTCAATGTTTTAAAAATAAGATACTGCATATTTTTTTTAACCTGTTAAAAAAGATCAAGGGGGGTCAGATATTAATAAACATTATTACATACACTCCTTGATAATAACATTTCGATACAGATACATCTTTTAGAGGTCATAATATCATGGACCAAATCAATGTTAAAAACTGTTATAAACACTCTACAATGTGAGACAGCACATTACATTTTTATGGAGATTTTCTCATAATATTATATTCTAATGAAAAATATCCTAATCTTCATATATTGGTATACACATACTTGATTCCTCAGCCATCCTTTGTCTAAATGTTTGAGGTTTTAGGGTAAATGGTATTCTCTTTTCATGGTCATCAGGCTCACTCTCAGGGTCATCTTCACTCTCTCTCTTCATACCAGAGACGGTAGAGGTATGTTCTACATCCAAAGAAATATAGTCATCTTGGGCTCTGGCCAATTCACGTTTTCTGCGGGCTGCCTGAATAAAAGCTGCATCTGGGATCTTAACTGAAGGAAACAAAGAGGAGGACACTAAAAATCAAAGACCAATGTAAGTAAATATTTCTCACATTTAAGAAAAAGAAAAAAGCACCATTTTCCTAAATTATTTGCTATTTTGATATATGAATGTGACTTTAATAAATGGCTCAAAGTCTGTATCAGCAAAGGAAGAAAACTTAATAGAGATTAAATATAATTTAGAAAAATCAACCAAATCTAGAAGTATCAGAAAATATACAGAAACCACTTCATTTTATCTTTTAACTCTCTTACTCATCAGGTACTGCTCACTTTGTTGAGGGGTGGCTATTTCTCATTTCTGGAAGCTCTGAGACTGTCAGCACAGGGATGTGGAGGGGGCTGAGTGTGGTGTTCCCCAATCAGTGAGAGCTACAGAAGTTAGAAGGATCAATGACAGACCAGTCTGACTTACCAAGTAAGAGAGATACTACACTACAATGTTCTCCTTCCCTCCTACCCACACTTACAAGAAATCAGAAACATACTATAAACAGTAACAGAGCAAAGCCAAATTAGCCTCTGCGGTTCTATAGTGAGCCGCACGTGAATAAACATGAGACATTAAGAAGTGTAAAGAAAATAATCAGGTTCATTTACCAGGTGAAAAATTTTAAATGACAACAACTCTTAAGAGAGTCTTATTTTTTTCTTCATATTGTACAGCATAAACATCATTAGTATAAACTCTTCCAATTTAAAACAAGTTTCTTCATGCATGATCTAAGGTGAAATTTATCTTCATTCAGGAAAAAATGGTTTCTTAAGAACAATACTACAGTAAAGAAATGGCAAGAGAAATTTTCACCATTTTAAGCATTTCAAACTACTAAAAAGATGCCAAGCTACTAAGGCTCAAGTGAAATTTTCTAAACTTCCCCAAAAGTTGACCCAAATTCTTTGAGAAATAAACAGAAAAATGTCATGTACTTGGAGATGCGCAAAAGCTCCAATGTTAGATACAAACAAACAAAAAGAGATATATCACAGACCAATATGCTTGACATCAGCCCTAGGGAAAATTAAAAGTCCTTGAGTAAATCATGAAGCAATAAAGTAATCACTAGAAGTCAATAAATATTCATCAAAAACAAGTAATATAAAATCAGATTATTTGCTTTTTTATAGATTAGTATTTACTTATAGACTACTGTCAGGGACATGATGAAGGTCAGGTGTCTCTTCCTCTTCCCAAAGCATTTAAGATTCAAAACCATCACAGCAGGTTATAGTAGCAATTCTCAACCCTGACTACACATCACAGTCACCTAAGAAGCTTGACATACCCAGGCCTCTATACCAGCAATTAAGATGTTGATCTGAGGCAGAGCTGAGCAAAGTATGTTTTTATAGCTCCCTAGAGGATTTTAATGTGCAGGCAGGGTTAAGATAAGACAGTTAGGTTCAAATACTCAAGTGTATGAATATAGACACAGAAATTCTTATTTTGGAAGTGATTTTCCTGCAGATGACTTGGTAGGGTTTAATAAGTAAGTCACAAGCAATGGGACACAGTAGTAAGATATTAGTGCTACATAAAGGTAACCGCTCAAGTGAAAATAAAGAAGTAAAAGTTCAAGGAAGAGAAGAGTATTGCATCTGTCCTGTTTCTGCATATTCAGTACCTAGTTCAAGGGTTCTCACACAGCAGATGCTGAGCAGACAAGGGATGAATCAATAATGTTAGCATATTGTTCAATAATAAACACATCATGTTTTTACAAATTTATAACTTATGAATAATTCTTCACATACATCATCCTATCTAATATACAATCATCTAGGGCTGAGAGGTAAATTATCATCTTCTATTAATAACAAGTAGCCTCTGCTAGAGGGACTATTTCGAGGCAGATATTCCTTCCAAACACAAACAAATGCTTTTCTTCCACATGCCAGCCCTTAAAAGGAACACATTCCTCCATCTTTTCTTCTCCAGCCAGTAAGTCCTTTGAACTTTCAGGTGTTCCTCACAGGACAAGTTTTCAATTTTTAATCAGTGGGGGAGGGGCAATTCACCCTGCTGAACTGTTCTGCACTCCTGTAAGACATTTATCAATCCTTGCCTGTAGGGTACTACGTGCCAGCAACAACTCAACCACTGTAATCATTTAAATAATCCCATACATTTTCAAACACTGCCCTCTCTCCTTAGGTGGGGGCAGTGCTGCCAACACTTCACAACCACTGCCTTATGCTGTTTAATCCACTATCTTCTTTTGTTTGTTTTTGAGATGGAGTCTTGCTCTGTCACCTGGGCTGGAGTGCACTGGCGTGATCTCTGCTCACTGCAACCTCTGCCTCCCAGGTTTAAGCAATTCTTTTGCCTCAGCCCCTTGAATTACAGGTGTGTGCCACGATGCCCGGCTAATTTTTATATTTTTAGTAGAGACAGGGTTTCACCATTTTGGCCAGGCTGGTCTCGAACTCCCGACCTCATGTGATCCAGCCGCCTAGGCCTCCCAAAGTGCTGGGATTACAGATGTGAGCCATCACACCTGGTCTAATCTACCATCTTTTATAGTAGCATTGTTTGGTACAGTAGCCACTAGCCCCATGTGACTATTCAAATACAACTAAAAATTCAATTTCTCAGGCTCACTATAGCCACATTTCAAGAGTTCAATAGCCACTTGTGACCAGTGGCTACCATATGGACAGTGAAGACAGAAAATTTATCCAAACCACAGAAAATTCTACTGAATAGCACTGTATCTAGAATCTAGACAAGGTTTTAACCGTTTACTAGATTTCAGTTCTTCATATTAGCTTAATCACTTAGTATTTCTGTACCTTGCGTACATGGAGAAAAAACAAAATTACAAGGTTACAGAGCTACTGGTTGTTGTTATTTAATAGGCTAATAAAGAAGCACTTATTACTATATTACAAGCGTTATAAAATATATTTTAATAATTTTATTTCACTAAAATGTGTTTCCTTTACAAAGCTATGTATTTTATTTTATTTTCTCAGAAGGGATCTTAGGCTTCTCTAGACTGAAAAAGGACTCCACAGCACAAAACAAGTTATAAACCTCTGTAAGACGCCAGATAAATATTTTTGACTCTGTGGGCCATAGGGTCTTTGACGAAACTTCTCAACTTTGCTACTGCAGTGCAAAAGCACACACAAATAATGAGTAGCTGAAAGACTGTGATTGTGTTTTACTAAAACCTTGTTTACAAAAATAGGTAGTGGGCCAGATTTGCCACCCCTGAACTAGACTGATCTAAGACACAAAAACATTCATGTCACCTGTATCAAATTTTCAGTGGTTCCCTAAGCCCTGTATCATCTGACTCCAACTTGTCCTTCCTGTTTTCTTCTTTTCCTTAAATTCCCAAATACTTTCAGCCAAACAGAGCTATTTTTAGCTTCCTGCACATATCACATACCTTCCCTAGAGTTTCAGATATGCTACATCCTATACCTGAAACATCCTCCCTGAGAAATTCTTACCATCCTTTAGGTATCAGTATCAATCACCCAGCATAGCACAGTGGTTAAGAAGAATACAGGCTCTAGAATAGACTGGGTTTGAATCCTAGCCCTGCTACTTATAAGTTGTCTGACCTGTGCATGTTAAAATGTAATAAAAATGAGCAGTCAATTTTGGCACTCTGACAATCATCCTTAATGACCTACTTGCCCCATATGTCACCAGAGTTTTTAATATGTTATTAATAACTATATCAAAAACACTATATTGAAAATAAAATTCTTAACCAAAATCATACAAATTGCTAACCTGTTGATGAAAGTTCTTTTTCTCCAAGAGAGCTAGAGCTGTCAGAAGACAAACCCTGATCATCCTTACTTTCTGAGGAGTGATGTATTTCATCCTCTTCATCTGTGGACACACCAAGGACTCTGGATTCTAACAGGACATTAAAAAAATATAACAAAAAAGAGTCAAAATAATGTAATTAATAATTGAAATTCTGAACAACACGTGGCATATGTATAATATGGTGTTTTAATCCTACTCCACATATTAAAGTAGACATATTGTTCTTCCTCCAACTTTGTCTTTCTTAAGCAACTGAATGATCTACTAAGTGTACAAAGACCCTATTTGTATTAACTAGGCATCTAATAATATATTTCCAAAAGGATGCAATGAGAAGAGGGAAGGAGGCATTAGAGAAAAAAAAGAGACAAAACTGAAGTAATATTTAGAAAAGTAATGATTGTAAGTAGAAAAGAAAAATATTTAATGTATACTATGTACTAGGCACATTGAAACCTGTTTTACATGACTTATTTAACACTTGTAATTCTATAAAGTAAATACTATTTCTGATGAGTTCACTAAGGATTGGGAGGATAGAGAACACCAACTCAGGAAATGGAGAAGCAGGGCTTTCAATCTAATCCCATCCAACTTCAGAATTTAGGCTCTCTTTATAGCATGCCATATTTCAGTGGCTGGTGGCAAGAAATACTGTAAGGAGCACTTTGGTCAAAACTAAACCATGGCCGGGCGCGGTGGCTCAAGCCTGTAATCCCAGCACTTTGGGAGGCCGAGGCGGGCGGATCACGAGGTCAGGAGATCGAGACCATCCTGGCTAACACGGTGAAACCCCGTCTCTACGCAAAATACAAGAAAATTAGCCGGGCGAGGTGGCGTGTGCCTGTAGTCCCAGCTACTCAGGAGGCTGAGGCAGGAGAATGGCGTGAACCCGGCGGGGTGGAGCTTGCAGTGAGCTGAGATCGCGCCACTGCACTCCAGCCTAGGGCACAGAGCAAGACTCCGTCTCAAAAAAAAAAAAAAAAAAAAACTAAACCATGGGTCTATCTTTTCAATGCATGATTTGGAAAGTCAAACAGTCTGTTAAATTCAATTAATCTGTTAAACAAAGATAACACCAAGATAAAACCCACAGGGGTGTTGTGAAAATTAAATGAACAAAATAAAAGAATTCTTGACATTACTGACAAGAAAGGGTTTGTTAATCCACAATAAATTTGCAATCTTTATGAGTAACCTTAAAACATAAGATTACACAGTACTCATTACTTTTAATTTTCTACCTTAGTTAAAAGACCTACATACAGTTCAAAAAAGGCTGGAGTAAAATCAAAACTTAAAACACTTAAAAAAAATAGCTGCAGCTCACAGCTTTCTTAGATATTGCCATTTATGACAACCCATACCTGTTTCCAAAGTGGATTAACACCAAAACAGTGGGTCTCAAAGCATGGTTTATCAATCCCTGGAGGTCCTTGAGACTCTTTCAGAGTCTATGAAATCAAAACTACTTTCAACACAATAATAACATGTTATTTGTTCTTTTTACCATGTTGACATCTACATAATGAAGTAAAGGCAGTGGTGGGTAAAACTGCTAGATCCTCAGCACGAATGAATCAATTTGTAGTAGCGGTTATGGTATTTTTCACTACCTCACATTGGCAGAAAAAAGCCAGTTGCTCTTAACGAAGTAATTAAAAAATTGTTATTTTATTAAATTTTGACCCTTGAGTACACACGTTTAATTTTCTTTGTGACAAAATCAAAGTATTCATAAGACACTTTTGCTGCATCTTGAAATGCAATGGCTGCCTTAAGGAAAAGCATTTGTGTGACTGAGTTGCAAGCTGAACTAGACATTGTTTTTAAGAAGCATCACCATTTTACCTGAATGACTAACAAACTGGTTATTCAGACATGGCTATCTGACAAATATTTTCTCAAACTTGAGCCCAGTTTTGCCTATCACTTCCAAAATGAGAGATTTCAAGTGAAAATTGAGATTTTGGAAAACGTATATTTTCTACTGTGAACCTAACGGCTTTCCAATGCTTAGACTGATTAATTAGTGGTAATACTGAGTTTTTTTGGTATTGTACAATAAAATGCTCCAACATTTGTAAGACCTGCAAACTCATCTAAAGAATACTTTCCAAATAATGCAAGATGTTACCAATCGTTCATGAGAAAAAGATCCAAAGTATAAAACAGAACAGAGTTTTAATGTAAGAGCACCTCAAATTTAATTTAATCATATGGTTTAAAATTCCATTTGGCAACTTTTTTTTTTTTTTTTTTTTAGATAGAGTCTCACTCTGTCACCCAGGCTAGAGTGCAGTGGCATAATCTCAGCTCACTGCAACCTCAGCCTCCCGGGTTCAAGCGATTCTCCTGCCTCAGCCTTCCGAGTAGCTGGGATTACAGGCACCCACCACTATGCCCAGCTAATTTTTGTATTTTTAGTAGAGATGGGGTTTTGCCATGTTGGCCAGGCTGGGCTCGAACTCCTGATCTCTTGATATGCCTGCCTCGGCCTCCCAAAGTGCTGGGCTTATAGATGTGAGCCACTGCGCCCTGCCCACAACTAACTTTTAAGAAGGGTTAGTTTATTACTTGTTGAGCTTTGTTATACTAAAGCACAACACTCTCAATGATCTAAAAAGGTTATTAAGTACTCGTCTTAACCATGTATCTGTCAGAGGCTGTATTTTCTTCAAATACTTCAACCAAACCAAAAGAGCACAACAAATTAAAAGCAGAAACAGCTATGAGAATTCAGCTGTCTTCTATTAATATTTTGCCAGACATTAAAGAGATCTGCAAATTGAAAACAATGCTACTCTTCCTTTTTTTGTGCAATATTTTTCACAAAAATCTTACTTATCCTTACATGTAATAGATTTTTTAAGTGAATTAATAAATTTTATTTTTAGTATGGTAAATATTGATAGGTATAACCTACTGAAGCAAAAGCTCTTTGGAATCCTTAATCATTTCTAACAGTCTAAAGGAGGTCCAAATCCCAAAAAGTTTGAGAAACACTATTCTAGAAGGCAAGAGAAAAAGTAACTCCTTACTTCAACGTTCATCTACAAAGTTTCACCAGAAAACAAATATAAAAGGTCATGAAAACTTTAGACAAATAGAAGGTCACAAGAAAGACCAAGAAATCACGAAGATCACAAACCTGGAGGACATTATGTTACCTGAAATAAGACAGGCAGAGAGAGACAAACACCACATGACCTCGCATATGTAATCTAAAAAAGTGGAAATCAGAAGTCACAGAAGCAGAGAGTCCAGCAGTGGTTAGCAGGGACTGGGATTGAGAGTGGTTGGGGAGATACTGATCAAAGGGCACAACATTTTAATTAGACAAGACGAATTCTATTTTACAACACGGTGACTAAAGTTAACAACAACGCATTGCATACTTGAAAATTACTGAGAGTAGATATTAAGTGTTCTCATCACAAATAAAGTAAGTACCTAAGGCAATGCAAATGTTAATTAGCTCCATTTAGTCACTGTAGACACATTTCAAACATCATGTTGTATGCCATAAGTATATACAATTTTTACTTCTCAATAAATTAATAAAAATCACTTTAATGAGAATAAAAAATAGTAGGAATATTTTGGATCTCAAGACTAACCAAAAACCGTATTCCTCATTAAGCTACAATTCAAACTCAGAGCAGCACATTTTATGTAAACCACTTTATGCTGCCTTACGAAAGAACTCAAAGGTACTTCAAAATGACACTATATTTAACACCATTACAGGTACAATCTACAGTGACATGAATCTCTATCATGCTTCTTTGTGTTGTATATATTATTTTTAATAGTTGTTGCAAATAACTGGTGAAAAAACAAAACAAGCAAAGGGGAATGTTCCAAAACCTAGATTCTTGTATTATTCTGGCAAAATGTTTTCAAGAAAGATAAGTTGGGCAAGTGTCTAAAAGGTACATATAACTTCTGCCTACTTAATAGTATTTGAAATTATTGAATTCTGTTGTGACAATTTAGGTTCTTCATAAACTTTGTGTTAGTTATAACTGGTGGAGTCATCTGATGGTGAAAACGAAGAGCCTCCCAACTGTACAGGATTGTTTTATCTCCCCCAAGGAGTCCAAAAGGTAGATGCAGGCAGCGGGCGAGTGCTCGAGCTGTTTTCTCGCTCACTACCTACAGGACTTGGACTTAGCACGGCTGATGATCGGCAGCAAGTTACAGAACCCCCGGAGAAAGATCCAGAGACCCCGCGGCCCCTTCCCGCCCTGTGCCGTCACCTCCTTTCTTCCCCGCGTCACCCTGGACACCTGAGCCTTCGTCCGCGCGGGGAGCCGCTTCCTTGGCGCGCCGGGAGCTCGCCCAGACCCGGCCCCGGCCACGAGGGCCCCGAACCCGGTGAGGCCGTCCTGCCACCCGCGCGCGGCCTCCTCCAGAGGGCGGCCCTTCCTCCGCAGAACCTGGGGCCGCAACTTCTCTCGGCACCCCAGGCTCAGCAGGCGACTCCTCGGCGCCATCGCTGTCGCTGGAATCGGCAGCGCGCTGCCGAAAAGTCCTTTTCGGCCTGTGAGCCATGGCCGAGACCGAAGGGCCCGGAGCCCTACGACCCGCTGAACCCCAAGCCAGAGCTTCAGTGCCCGCCCCCAACGCGCGCTCCCGCCTCTCCTGGTCGCCGAGTGCGCGCGCCCGTCCGCCAGCCTTCTACTACCCGCTTCTCTGTCTGCGCCTGCGTGCTTTGCCTTCTTGGCTGTGGTTGGCCGAATTCTGTTCCGGGGTCTGGGTCTGGAGAGGCAAAGCGTTCCTTTTGCCAGTTTAGGTTGCGTGGACTGACATGTAGAGATTTCCACGGCCTCTCTGGGCTGAGTCCCACGGAGAGCAGAACTCACGTGCTCTCCTTGTGAATTAGGCTTTATGCTCTCCGTCCTGGACTGGAGCCAGATCCGTTGTCTTTTATTTTCCGGAGAAAGAGCCCCCTCCAACCAAGATGTAAAACAAACGAAACCCCAATAGTGTGAGGCTCGGGGTAGGAGGAGATGCTTCTGAGAGAAAAACAGTAAAGTCTGTACATAAACAATGCATACAGACTAGCAAAAATCAAACGACTACTCTCAGGCAACAGGACTTCACGAGAAGTCCTGGTTAGTCCTGGTTAAATGCTTTCACCCTTAAGGAAAGTATCTAAAAACAAAAAAAGGCTATTGTCTGAGGCAAATTTGTACAATATTCATTAAGCTCTGTCTACAGAAAGGAAGCCTGCACCATAAATTTTGAGTGATTGATCGTTTTGGTAAAACCTATTGTTATTTGGGTGCCTCTGACTGTCTACATCTAGAGCAATTCATCCAGTTCATTTAATTCATCTTGCTGCAGTTGGTTCCGTGCTCAACGACGTTTCCGCCTCTGCTTTAGAGAACAAAGCTTTCCAAGGGCTTCACAGAAGTGGATATTTTAAGGGATTAAATCTCCAGACTCTCAGCTTTGTTAAATGAAAACCTTAAACAAATTAAACAAAGTTTAATTGAGCAAATCACACGCCCCCTAAACTAGAATAGGTTCAGAGAGGCTTTAAGCGTAGCCAGCCACCTAGTGGAAGATTTATGGATGGAAAAACAAAAGTGAGGTACAGAAAACAGAACTAAATATGTGTTAGAAGGACTCTGTACTTCTATATCTGAGTCCTCGTGGAGGAACGTTAACCTAACAGTGTGAATTCCTAAATTTTGAGACAGTTCTCAACTAATTTAGAAAGTTTATTTTGCCAAGGTTAATGACACACGCCCGTGACACAGCCTCAGGAAGTCCTGATGACATGTGACCAAGGTAGTTGGGGCACAGCTTCGGTTTATACATTTTAGGGAGACATGAGACATCAATCAATATATGTCAGATGTACGTTGGTTCCGTCCAGAAAGGTGGGGACAACTTAAGCAGGGAGGGGGCTTCCAGGTCACAGGAAGGTGAGAGACAAATAATTGCATTATTTTGAATTTCTGATAAGCCTTTCCAAAGAAGACAATCAGAATATGCATCTATCTCAGTGAGCAGAGGGATGACTTTGAATAGATTGAGTGGCAGGTTTTGCCCTGAGCAGTTCCCAGTTTTACTTTTTCCTTTAGCTTAGTAATTTGGGGACCCCCAAATTTTCCTTTCACAATAGGTAGACAAGATTGAAAACCTAAATTAGGTTAACTAGGTCAGTCTTGCCCAATCCCAGCAGCCATACTTAAACCACTGATACACTGCTGAGTGTTCAAACTGTGTTCAAATGAGGCAAACGCCAACTTGTAACCAATCCAGCTGTTTCTGTACCTCACTTTCGATTTCTGTACATAAATTCCACACCCCTCCCCCCGTTTTTTTTTGTTTTTTGGTCTACAAATTTGTTCTGACCACTAGGCATCCCTGGAGTATCTCTGAATCTGCTGTGACTCTGGAGGCTGCCCAATTCACGAATCTTTCATTGCTCAATTAAACTCCTTTAAATTTAATTCAGCTGAAGTTTATCTTTTAGCAGAAGTCAAGTACAGAAACAGCCAGATTGGTTACAGCTTAGTGTTTGCCTTATTTGAACATGATTTGAACAGTTGGCCAGCTTTGATTTGCTAAAACTCGGTGTTTGGCACAAGAGTAAGTTGTAGTCTATTTACACATCCAGTTAGGTTCTAGTTCACTAGGTAGGGAGAAACCTTTAGGTTGAACTTAAAATATATAAGGAAGTAGCTTTAGGCTAAACTTAACAGCTTCCATATGCATTCTTGCTAAAACTGGTTTGACTGAGAACCGCTGTATTCATGCTGCCTTGACAAATATAGTGTTCTTTTCTTCTTCCAAAGGAGAGGCATAATTCTGTGTCCCTCCTGAATATACTAAAGTACATGCCATGTGTAAAAATCTCTGTAGCATCCGACATTTTGTCGTCTAGATGACAAATAACTAATGTTTTCATTACAATCCTCTTGCAAACCAGGCAGTTTCCAATGTTTTGCTTTCAACAAAATTGGAAGACCAAATCCGATAGTCAGTTGACCATTCAAACTAATTTTTGATGATGAATTAATGTGATTTTTGCATACAATTCAGGAATTCTGAAAAATGACTGATATTGAAAAGACACACTTTTTCGCAGGTAGAGAGTTTTCTCAGCGCTTACATAAAATTAAAATATAACAGCATAATTGACAATAATAACTGTTCTAGCAATAAGTAATATCCATGGATGCAACTAATATGGGAGGAGCTATATTTGTCATTAAGAGATGTATTTTCTTTCTTTCTCTTTCCTTCCTTCCTTCCTTCCTTCCTTCCTTCCTTCCTTCCTTCCTTTCTTTCTCTCTCTCTCTCTCTTTTTATGTTTCTTTCTTTTTTGACAGTCTTGCTCTGTTGCCCAGGCTGGAGTGTAGTGGCATGATGTCTGCTCACTGCAACCTCTGCCTCCCAGTTCAAGCGATTCTTCTGTCAGCCTCCCAAGTAGCAGAGATTACAGGTGTGCACCACCACGCCCAACTAATTGTTTGTAGATTTTTTAGTAGATATGGGGTTTCACCATGTTGGCCAGGCTGGTCTTGAACTCCTGGCCTCAAATTATCTGCCCACCTCAGCTTCCCAAACTGCTGGGATTACAGACGTGAGCCACCGCACCCAGCCAAGACATGCATTTTCAACAAATATTATCTTTGCTTAAAAAAAAGTGACGTATTTATATTGCGTTAAGTGTATACTATTGTTGAAACCACCAGTTAAAGGCTACCAGCAGAATACCAAGTCAAACAAAGTTAGGTTTATTTAGCTTGCCCCAGCAGAGGAAAGCACAGACCAAGGAAACCACGGTGTATTGGTAAGAGGGAGTTGAATGGAGTTTCTTCTAAGATTTGGGCTTGTGCTAGATTTTAAGGAGAGCTAAGGGAAGCAGGGCCAGATTTGTATTATATAATGTCAAGAAGTTAGATAGTTTAACAATTAGGTACCTCAGTAATCCTCTTAAAGAAGTAGGAGGAACAGAGGAAGGAAGTGGAGTTTGGATGTCATTAGTATAAAGTAGCAATCACTTCAAAATACTTCTTAGAGCTGCAGTATGGTCTTGACTTCCAGCAGAGCTGACTAATTTCTCATTAATAATTGTAAAGATAACTAAATCCAGAACATACATAATTATACATTACATATACATTTTTATGGAAAAACATAGATTGATTAATGAAGAACTTTCAAGTATAAACTGATTTCTATAATTTGATCAATGAAAGACTTTCAAGTATAAACTATATTTCAGTAGGTAAAATGTCGTAGGGAATAGAAATATGAATTCAAGGAGAAAAAGCAATGATGCAAATGGTTTGTACATTTATTAAATGAGATACTGAGTATTAAATAGGTTCAATGTTTAGGTTACATTATATACATTTAAATGAGTAATATAATTTTTATAAAAGTAAGTCCCAACATGTACAGTACACCAGAAATTATTCTTTGCAAATGTCAAAACTTAGAGATGTCCACCTAAAAAAATGCTGAGATAATAAATTTTTAAAAAATCCCTAAAAGAGCATGCATTCACAAAGGTATGAAACCACTATCACAGATGACCATTACCAACTCAATCTTCTTTATACTGACTATGGACGCTCCAGTTGCTCAAAAACATTTCTTGCTTGGGCCGTCTCATAGGAATAGTATTTTAATAATTGGTTGGAGGACTTAGAATATATAAGGAAACAGCTTTAGGCTAAACTTAATTTAGATAGAGTCATAGATAAAATGGGCATTGTAGTATGTTTTTGGGGGTATACTCCACCAATAAGCCAATTTTCTTCCAGAAATTTCTCTTCTATTAGGTTTCCGTAGCTACATTCACCTCCTGGGACATGGCTAACAGGGTCAAAAGAGATACCAGAACCATGGTAGACCAATTAGAGCCTTTCCTCAGGAATGTCTGAGCTGTGAAATACTCTTCAGTGGCGAGCTGGAGTCAGCTCCTGTGGACTCTGGACGGCTGGTTGCAAAATGTTCAGAAATTGTAGGAGCCAGTTAACACAGTCATTATTAAACATTAAATTGTATAAATTTACTACTTAAAGGATATTATGAATAAAGGTAATAAATCCTCAAAACTCAACACTTGCTTTTGCTACTAACTCTTACTGTTATCTGTGCCATTGAGGTTTATGTCTATTGTATCTGTATGGTAGAAATACTATATAATGTTGAGCTACTGCACACCTGTTACCAACTCCATGTTTAGTGGTGTCATATTTGCAGCTTGAAATCAGTCATAATGGGAATACTTATACCATATAAATTGGGAGACCTGAGAAGTCTGGGTGTTTCTCCCAGATATCCAGTCATTAAACATTTACCATCATATCACTGACTATATTTCACCAAAGGAATAGAGAAGCAGCAAAGTTTCTCTGATTGATCTTGCCCCAGAATTCTTTTTTCTTGGCTTTTCTTTTTTCTTGGCTTTTTCTTTTTTCTTGACTTTTCTCAATAAACTGAAACTCATTGATGTAAATTTGGGAAATTATATGATACAGTATTATCAGTTAGTCACAATTTATTAATGTCTTATTATAAAGAGAGGCTTCTCTTTTTAAATCCAGGTAAAGTTAGAGAGCTACTTGATTTTTTTGTTTTAGAAAATTGGCAAATGGCGTGAAAAGGATATTTCTGGAGAATAGAGATACTCATGGTATCTGAAAGAACAGCTTCCTATCATGGACCAAGTGCTCCTTGTAGTTAGAACAAACTTTGAAGATTGGGGATGGAGACGTGGGTTCTATTCGGTCCAGTGCTTTTTAGATGCCATCTTTCCATGCAGAATTCCCAATTTCTGCCATGGATACTGTTCTATTCTCCTTTAGCAGAGGAGGACATCTTTCCAAATTACACTATACATCTGCAGTTAGTGCTAAACCAAACAGGAGAGTATAATTTTTAGTTTATTTTATTTTATGGACAGAGTCTCGCTCTGCCACCCAGTGCGATGGTGCGAATACAGCTCACTGCGACCTTGACCTACTGGGCTCAGTGATCCTCCCACCTTAGCCTCCTGAGGATCGGGGACTACACGCATGTACCCCCATGCCCAGCTAAGACTAGCATTTTGAAACAGGAGAATGAGGAAGA